TTGACAAAATGTCGTGCTAGCTTCACAGATTCCTTATCATTTCTCTTATGTAGCTTCTTTACAATAATAATAATTATTATGATCACAAAAATGGACGACAATCGTCATGATTTTCTTCACATTTGTCACTGTTTGCTTCAAAATCTTTTTTAGATGGTAGCCACGCAACCATTCGATGCATGTAATTCTGTGATTTATTATTGAGGGATGTTTGCACTGCTTTTATTATCGGAGATGATTTGCATAGTAATAATCGAATGCAAGCAGAATCAGAGCCAGTCATTCTTGCTATCAATTGATTTGGTAAATTTGGATTTCTTGCTTGCTCGACTAAATTTTGAACCTATTAAACATAATTAAAAAATTGTGCTTCATGGATATATTTTAATGCTATATTTTAATTGCAAATATATTTCAATTATGTACATATAATTAAAGTAAAAAAATCCAAATGTTAATATTCTTAATTAATATTAATCTCATATATAACTTTTTCATTTATTATTTAAATCAAAATCGAAATCTTTTTCTTTTATATATACGGACAGCGTATTGACCGGAAATTGAAATTCCAACACCAAGGAATTATGCTAGATTACACATTCTGTGTAACTTTTATTCATTTAGCACAACTCCTTTATAGTGTTGGGATTTCAATTTCCGGCAGTGTATTATATTTTACATTTCTATAATAACAACTTACATTCTTATTTTTATTTTCCAAAGTAAATTTTAAGGGATCCCACGCCAATTCTTCGTTGTCCATGTTTTTGAAGATATTACTTTGCGACGGTTTCAGTCCAAAAAGCGTACTTATCTGTCAAAATAAATAATTGAAACATTCTAAATTTTATGAATATAAAAAATATCACTGCTGTATAATATAAATAATTTATGTAAATAATAATTTGACCACATATACATTTACCATCTGTGCAAGAAATACAACACTATTGACTGCGATTGCTGCGATTTTTTGCGAATCAAATCCAATGAGTCGAAAAAATGCGGAAATAAAATTTGAAGGACCAAACGGTTGTTTTTCATCATTTCCGTTTTTCTCTCGTTTTTGCTTATGACCTAAACTTTTAGACACCAAGTCGGCAATATCTTTAGCCGTTTCTAAATAATTACTTGCATACTGTAATCCCGCTTTTATCTTATCCAAAACATCTGATTGTGAAATTAAAAGTATACAAATAATAAATAATAATAAGACTCTATAAGTATATAATACAGTAGAACAATTCAAGGACTAAGAGCCAAATCTAAAAGTATACAATTCTTTTTATAGCAATTTATTTTGTAATTTAACAGCACACACATACACAGAGAAATACTAAAGCTGAGATTTACGACAAAAGCTTAATTCTTCGGAAAAAATACAAACTTACCTTCGGTATTTGTAAGTTCCACTTTGCCAAATACAGTTATCCAAAGTACACACAAGAGAAAACACGAAACGCTGGACATTTTGTCGAACCAAACTGTTCAACAATACTGAGAGTACTATACCAAGTGTAAAACAGATTATAACGGGTTTTGTGTTAATTATACATTTATTCCGTTGCGTCTCCGCGACAAGCCCCCGTTGGGTTGCTTATGCGATTGTCACTCTTCTTGCTTCGTCAGCCAAGCGCAAGGAAACGGCATCCGTGTTTCACAGCGCGATTTAGTTGCGTTCCTAATAAAAGCCAGTAAAAAGTTGACTAAAGTACTGGAAGTAACATTCCAGATTTACTTAGCTGTCATCATCATAATTGAAGAAACGGTATGAAAAGTGTTGATTAACATAAAATTGTTTTTTAATTTTTGCTGTTTCAAGTTAAAGTATTTAAAATAAGTGTGTCTATTTTTCTATTTTGGAAATAAATTACATTATAACATGTTAATATGATAAAATTTAAGGAGAGAGAGAGAGAGAGAGAGAGAGAGAGAGAGAGAGAGAGAGAGAGAGAGAAAGAGAGAGAGAGTGAGTGAGTGAGTGAGTAAGTGCAAATACTTATATTTTAATAGATATCTATATGTTAATGAACACAAATTTTAGAATATTCAACTATGTATTGCGGTTTGTTAATACTTTATACATATATTTTGAAAATGACATCTGGAGATCAATCATCTTTATATCTGAATGAGATTCGCAGTTTAAGCGAATTACCAATGAATAAACTGATTCACTTAAGATCTTCCCTTGCAAGCAATAATGGTAAATTATTGTAAATTATTTTTATTAAACCATTTATTATTATCATAAAATTATCAAATGTTATTTTAAGATATTATTGAAGATACATTTACATGTACAAGCTATAATTATTACACTTGTCTATTTTTATGTTTTTCTTAGATATTAATAGCGAATGTGAAAATGAAAATATCGTGTCCAGTAGGACACTACCATGGACAATGGCTTTGTCAACGTCATTGAAGAAAAATAACAGGAAGCCTACAAGACGACATGAAGAACACTATGATGAAAAAGGCAAGGACACAAAGATTTCAAAGATCTTTCAACTGGCAGTAACTGCACTCTCTTTTCTGGCATTCGGTGGTTATCTCCTTACACTCATAATTACAGCGATTCGTCGCAATGGAAATGGAAACGGAAACGGAAATGTCCTCATATTTTCGGTAATAATTATAATAAAATTTCTTGCTATTAAAAACTAACTTGCTATTAAGCAATATGAAAAATCTATTCAGCGATTATTTAAATAATAGCTGTTTTTATGATTGCGCAAAGTATACTTGTTATAAACTTAAACTTATTTTACTTTTTTCAGTTAGATATAACTTTTTTATTTAACATAGTTATATATGATATGTATATAACTATATATAAATAGAAAAATAATTCCTTATTATTCAATTATTATTCTATTGTAAAATTTTTTATATTTTTTATAATTTAATTCTAAAAGTGAGCTGTGTTATATTTTAAGAATCTGTATGTTTTTTTTAAAAGATTATTGATATACGTAAAATCTGCAGCTATAATTGTTTGAAAAACTTTTGATTTTTATAATAAAAATTCGAATTAATTTTTTATAAACGTGTTTAATTAAGCAAACAATTATTAATTATTTTTTCCAGAATCTAGAAAACCTACAAAAACTACATCGCCCCAAACGAAATATTTTAATATTCGATCCAATGGAAAATAACTTCGAAACGGACAAACTCTATGAAGGAATGATTATGCTTTCGAGAAGTTACGCCTTATATAATTGACCACAAATTGTAAAATGTATATTTTATAGATTTATTATTTATTCATTTGGCTATATTACTATATTAAATGATATTATAAATGATCAAATATATATCTATAATTATATATAATGTAATACATACATATAGATATATAAGATAAAATAAATATTTTATGAAACAGTTTGAATATTCTACAAAATTTTAAATATAAAATTCTGCAGAAAATAAATTAATAAAATATTTTTTCCAATTATTTGTTAAGTTAGTTACTTTTAATGTGACACTAAAACTACATAGATATCGTGAAATACAAATGTGTAAAAAACAAAAACAGCAAAATGAATTAATAGATTCTTGAAGAATCTTTTCTTTTATTTTTATAATATGTGCTTAAAAATTATGCCGATCGATTAATTCTATTTAAGAAGCACGCAAATCTGCAGACTCTTGAAAATCCTAAAACCTAATAAAATCGAATAGAAGCCCGCGCTATGTACATATTTCGAAGAATATTCTTAGCGTATGGGTAGAGAGGCAGCTTCAAACATGGCTCTTCAAATAAACATCTAAGTAGTTGTGTACTCCGCAGACCTACGCGTAAAGATAACCATATGGCTCTTGCAAAGATATCATCGACTACACATATGTCTCTATACCATTGTTTCATCTATATATATATATATATATATATATATGTATACATATATACCTATGAATTCTTGTACATAGAACGTTCTTCGAAATTTCTGATTACATGACGTTCATGTAATCAGAAATTTTATGTCCTAAAGTGATTATAAAACGTAAGGTATAACATCTACCGTTTTATTATAGCAAATTTAATTTGCTCATTTTAAGGACTTCCATTATATTAATCGTGCTAAGTATGATGCTTAAAAGAATTGTATCAAATTGAAACATATTTAAACATATATACTTATAATGATTATCAGTTAGATTGCTTAAAAATTGAATATCTAAATTAATTTCTGTTTTTAAATTCTTAAAGACTTTATATTACAAAATATCAATTAAAAAGATTAAAAATAATTCATGCAAATATGCGATCGATTAAAGAAATCAAAAACTGCATAACACACACATGAATTTTATTTATGCTTATAAAATCAATATAGTTTAACTAATATTAAAGACAATTTGTTATTGTTATCATTGCCATAATTTTTATTTTTCATCTTTCCAAAGCATCTCTCGCGGAGAATATTACTTTAGCTTGACATTTATATCCGCAGCATCCGACTCATCATTTTGACCAGACCAATCTTCTTATAGTCCCGCCTACCAGTATTTTTGTGGACCAATCCAGTTAATCCAGCGAAATCACAACTGGCGGTGGTGATTTTTTCAGCCAGAAATTTCTCGACATGGCAGAGTTTCGTTCACTCATTCACTTTTATGCTCTTCTATAATTCTCTCGAATATTTTTACGAAAGTGATAATTCTTTACTAATAAATTAATTTAGAGTCACTTCTTTCTCAAACTTATTTCTATTAAATCAATATTTAATATAAGTGTGTGCACTTAAAAATAGTGTTATAAAAAAAGTGATTAAAGAAAGTGCATAGTGAAGTAATTATATATTAATTAATTGACAAACGTTACTGGAAATTATTTTATGTTATTTTTAATAATAAGTTTTTATGTAAACGTATATTTTATATAAACAAACATATATATAAAATATAAAAGCAAATTTTCAAAAATGTTATAAATGCAGTTAACGCAGATACCATGCAAACTTTTTACATATTTAAAAGAGACGATGAATGACATAAATGCTTTTAACATGGATAATTCTAATTGTTCAAGACAATTAAAATTTGGCATGGATCGCATATTATCGAATGAAATTTGTACCAAAAAAACAGGTAAAGATTTGTACTATTTAGTTAAAATTGTAATTTACAACTGTTATATAAAATAGTTCAATTCTAATATAATTGTCATAACTGACTTACTATTTATTTCACAAATTTTTTTGAATAATTTATACATCAAATTACATCTCTTTTTAATCAAACGTATACGTATATAGTATATTAATTTTTTGTAAATATATTTTTAAATAAACATTGTAGCTTTTAATTTTAATATTTCTTGTAACAGTGATAAAGTTTCTATATTATTACAATTAAATAAAATATATAGATATTATTATTTATATATCTTATAGAAGTTTTAATTTACCAAAGTCAATACGTTGATAGATATTCTTAAGCCACCTCCAATACAATTTCCACCAATACGTTGCCCCTGCATCGAAAGTTGCGAGCAATGCGAAACTGTTAGAACTGTCAAAACGTGCATTTCATTCCCGCATGCCCATTTGTCATTACCTGAGGGTACCACACACACACCTGCATCTTATACTGGACTAATGGAGACTTTAGGAACTTTATATCGGCCGGCACCATTACGTCCTTTACCAAAAGGTAAAATTATAACATTATATATAATAATTATTATAAAATAAATTATAATAAATTAAATTTAATATTGCTTAATTTGCTCGAAATTTGTAGAAAAATGTAATACTTTACATACTGCATCGCAAAAGTATCGAATATTTTTATAATTCGTAATAGAGAATGGTTTTTCTTTCATTGAAAATAAAGTCGAAGCGAGTTTATCATTTAAATAAAATCTTTTAAAGCTTCTCTTGTGGGAAAAATTCTAGTGAATTAAATTAATGAAAAAAGCTATGGAACAAAAAATGTATAATATTCAATTTGAGTTTAATTTTACAATTATTACATTTATTAATTACATTTAAACATTAAGCAAAATTTTTCTGTGAATATTTGTAATAATGTGTCTTAAGACTCAACTGACAATGAGCATCGCAAGTTACGTTATTAACAAATGTTACCATGTGGATATAGTATCTTGTACTTTTGATATTCGGGAGCAAGTAGAACAAAATATTTACGTGTCAGTGTCTTCACGTGTTTCCTGTCTGTGTTTAAACGACATCTTAAGTGCCATCCACCGTTTATGCATGGTGTAAACAGCGGTTTCTATGCGCATTTTCTCGGTTGGTTGGAATCTGGTAGCACTCGTATTTATTCTTTTTTTATTCTTCCATCTCCCCCACCTTTTCTCCATTATTATAAAATTAATGATACGTATATAAACATTTGTATAAATATATAACAATAATAATATAAATATAATATTATTTTAATTTGCAATAATATAAATTTTCGGGTTATTAGATACGAATTTAATGATTTAAAGATATATAATCTTTTTTTTATGCTGTACTTTCTTCTATATTTTTACGTAATATTAATAATTTATAAAGTATTATATTAATTATATTTAAATGATTATATTAATTTATTGCACAACATGAAAAGCCTCATCAAATGTAACAGAATATGTAAATTAGAAGTATCTAAAGATCAGCACAAATCCTAAAATAACTATGATGTTAAAGTTATCTGTTTGAATTTGTACGAAAATTCGAGTGTGAGTGGAAGTACCACGCTGTTTAAATACGTACAGATGTTGTATACTTTCGTACAATCGTAAATCAACCCGAAGTAGCCTATCTTCGGGACTTCTTCAGAAAACTAAAATTTAAAGAAACTGACATTCATCGAACTAGTAGAAATCGTTTATCTCTCATGATGCTACTTTATTTCTGTTTAATTCATAAAATTTCATAAATTCTTTCTTTTGCAGATATATGTGTATTTAACCTTTTACAAAATATATCTTCTCTCTCTCTGAAAAAGAGAATATAGTATAATATAATTCTATAATAACTGTTATATAAAAATAATATTTTTAATATAAGTATATCGAATATTACGAAATATGTATCTAATGTAAATTTGAGAGTTATACATATTAATAAAAATCATTAAAAACATATATTAGTATATAAAATAATTAAACTAATATATAAAATTTTAAGTAAAAAATTTGTTATGAGACAAATTCTAATACTTAATATATCTACATTTTTCAGCACTTATTTCATCTTCCTCGGCAATAAACTCTTCAGAAACAAACACACGAAGAAAAAGATCGTGGTCTAGAGCCGTCTTTAGTTCTTTACAGCGAAAAGGTTTGGAAAGAAGATTCTCTCTGCAAAAATACATTACAAAACCAGACAGGCGACAATTGGCAGCGACTTTAGGTCTAACCGATGCACAGGTTATACGATTTAAATGAAATGTCAACCTTTGTAATCTGTAAAATAAAAGAATTGTAATATTTCTTATTTCATAAAGGAAATAACATTCAAAGGAAATTTAAAAAAAAAATAATACTAATACAATTATTTTTAATTAAATTTTTTTTATGTTATTAGGTTAAGGTTTGGTTTCAAAATCGTCGGATGAAGTGGCGACATACAAAAGAGAGCGAAAACGTTGTATTTGGTCCAGATTCCACACAAAAGGATTTTCCACAAAAATTAATTAAATCTGTCACCAATGATACAACACAACAAGATGAAGAAGATATAGAAATCGATTAAATTTGATTTATGATTAGAGAGATTTATGAAATTTCCACAATATATTTTACCAAAAAAAACTTAATTTTAAAGTAAAATTATATTTATAAACATTTATTAAGAATTTATTTACTAAGACATGACAATATATTATATTGTAATATGTAATAAATATGTAATATCAATATGACAATAATGTGTGCAATAATGTGAATGAGAAAATAATGCATTTAAGATTTCTTAAACATAAATAAGTTATTGTTACAAAAATTTTATAAGAATAATTTACAATACAATTAAATATTCATATATTAATGATTATAGTATTTACTATGATTAATAAAACTTTGTATATATGTAAAAATAATTTTGAATACAGGCCTATATAATATTAAAATGAATTTATCATCAATGCGACTTTCTATTTTTTCGATATGCTCCCGTGGCAACGATTTTGTTATTTTCTTTCTCATTAGTGTAAACATACATAACTCGATCACTATTACACGACAATATTTATCAATTGCTTTCGTCCTTTCTAATATTTTTACTAACAGGTATGAATAAAAATTTTATTAACAAAAGACTTTGTTAATATATTAGATATATTAAAATAATTATATATACATTTAATAACTTCTCTACGTTCCTAAATAATCGTACGTATATTTAAATAATTTTTTTATTTAAGGATTGTGTCTTAATGTTGTAAAGATTTTATAATTTCGAACCAAAATGATGCGTTGCTTAACGCAATCCATTTCTGTTCCTCAAGATTTTTCATTGCAAACGTATAGAAAATGTTTCTATCGCTTAATAACAAAACTGTCAGATACATTAACAGCTACCAAGGAAAAGAAATGCGTGCCACTCAATTCCAATGACTTAATATGTAAGAAAAAAAAAATATTTAATTATTCAAAAATTTAAAAATTTAATATTTAATAATTTTCAAATAGAAATTTATATTAAATAGAGTACAAATAAATTAAGTCACTGCATTATATTTTAAGAGGAGAAATTTTGTCATAGATTAATATTAATTAGCTAATTCATGTGATACTCAAATTTCTTTAATTCAGCCACTTCCGTAGCACAATCACATACAGTTCCGACAATGAATGCAACGTCAACGAAGACGATGCCATTATTGGACACAGCAAATTTTGAGATAGCCACAGAAAGCGTTAAAATTCCTAAAATTATGCCACGTGTTCGTATAGAAAAAACACCATTACCATTTGAGGAGATTCCTGGACCGATGATCCTAAAATTATGGGAAAAATATTGGAGATACGTGCCACTCCTGGGTACGCAACTGTTTTGCAGTTTGCTAATAAGCAAACTTATCCAGGGTACGATCCCTTGAAGTTCAATTGATTAAAATTCGAAGAATTGTTTTATACCTTTAAATTAATTTTAAGAAAAGATATAAGAAAATGGTTTACTTTATACTTATATGTAAATTATAAATACATACAGAATGTCAATTAATTTTGGTTCTTCGAATTTTGAATAATTGCTTCCTGATATTAAAAAAATAGATAAAAATATAAAAATGCATTTTTACTATATAATATATCTCAGTCAATACCAAATAAAAATAACATAATATTAATGTTACAATTTTGCACTCAATATAAATGTTACATAACACATAACGTATTACATACAATTCCGTCATTTTAATATAAATTTTTTAGTAGTTACTATATTTGATAATAAAGACAAAATAATTTATACAAAAGACGGAAGTTTACTATTTCGCAATATTAAATATATATTATAAGACAATATATATATAGACCGCGAGTATTAAAACTAATGATAAACAAGCCTTAACGGTCAAGCTGGATCTTGTGTGCTTCTATAATCGCGTGTAAATTTATTATTTTATATTTATTAACGATAATAATTTAATACGTTATATTGTAGGACGATTATCCTGGAATCGTAATATCACACCAATTAAATACTTGTTTGATGAATATGGATGCATTGTACGGATCAACGGGCCACTTGTAAATGACATAATTATGATTCATAGGTAAGATATCATAACGCGTATATTTTTCTCAATAACTAATATATCGATCGTTCTAGACCTGAGCATATAGCAGAAGTTTTCAATCAGGAGAGTGAGTCACCTATTCGTAGCGGCATTGATATCCTCCAACATTATCGCCTTAACCATCACAAATACCGTTCCGCCGGAGCATTTTCTCTGTAAGTGTGCAATAAATTAGAAAAAGAATTGATCATAATTATTTAAATACATAAAATAATAAATTCAATTGCGCAACAAAATGTGAATATTTAAATTAATATCCTAAACTAAAAAAATGTCAATTTTTTAATTAAAATCCTCTTTAATACTTAATTATATTCTATTTATATAAAACTTTTGTAAGTTTTGTAAAAATATAGCTTATATTTATGTTTCTATATGAAACTGGAATTATGCAATGCTCAATTTCTTGAATGATAAGTAATTCATGCATGCATGTTTTGATGCACGCAGTGTGACTTTAATTGGATAGATAATTACAAAATTAACACCATTGTTTTTATTCTGAAGATGCTGTTAATCGTCTCGATCACATGACTTTTTAATCTTTTGATACATGCAACAAAACAAATTATGAAATAATAGACTCAAAATCGTGCACATCATATGCATATATATCATTAAAAAAATCGAGCATTGTGTGATTTTAGTTTTACAATTATTTGACATAAATATATAACGTTTCAGTTTCTTTAAATATCTTTAATAATTTTGTTATTCTGTCATTTCTTTACATTATTTAAATTTAATAAAACAGTAATTTAATTAATAATTTGATAATAAATTTTATAAAATATCAGACAAGGTTTGGAGTGGTTAGAAGTAAAAAAGAAGGTTGATCAGCCGTTGCTTGAAACTATTTCCGATTATATTGGAAAACTGGATTTAGTGTGTGGAGAACTTACTAACAGAATTCGTAATATTCGCAATCGTCAAGATGAGGTATATTCATGAATAATAAGTAATTAATAATGCACAATACTATCAATTGTCTTAAACTTACTTTATACTTTTTCTACGTATAAGTAATTATTTTTCGAAAACGGAACAATGTTGTACAAAAGTAAACAAATTCAGGTTTCACAAAATTATGATGGATAAATTATAATAGAAATTTTATTAAAATGTGATTTCTAAACACAAACATATTTTATTATATATAACTAATAAACGTAATAGTTTAAGAAGTAGTATTTGAAATAATATTTCTCAATAGGTGCCAACAAATTTTCATCAAGAACTCACTGCATGGGGTATGGAATGCTTCTACATGACAATGTTCAACAAGCATTTCGGTTTTCTTGATTCTGTCTCAAAATCAGCATCCGAAGCCACAAAAATTATTAATGCATTAATGATTGCTCATACATATATGAGTCGTTGCGAAACCGGATTTCAAGTGTGGAGATTCTTCGAAACACCATTTGTCAAAAAGCTTTATGAAGCTTGCGATGTTCTTGACGAGTAAGTCAATAAAGTTTAACAGCTTCAATGAAATTTTTACTTTAAGCATATGCTTTTATATTGTAATAAGTGTAAGCATGCATAATTATAATTATCTATTATCTATATATTTAATATATTATTTATTTAATTACATTAATATAATCTTTTTTAAATTTTAATATTATATTTATATTTTGTGCTAATATATATATATATTTCTTGAATGACATTTACTTTACTTATGGATTTTTACTCTAGAGTTATTGGAAAATACATTCGTCAAACTCAGAATAAAATGCAAACTTCATCGCTGTCAAAACAAGAAGAATCTATGAATGAAGAAAGAAATTTACCACTACTTGAAAAAATGATGATTCAGCGTATCCACCCAAACGACATTTCTACTCTTTTGATGGACATGCTTATTCTAGGCGTTCAAGCTGTAATATGCAATACTTACACAATTGTAATAAGAATATAAATTATTTTAAATTTTCAGGTCATTAATTGCGAGGCGTTCCTACTTTATTTCCTAGCAAAAAATCCTCGAGTACAAAAACGATTATACAATGAAATAACGTCTGTTTTGTCTAAAACCGATGGTACTCTAACAAAAGAAAGCTTGAAGGATATGCCATATCTAAAAGCATGCATAAAGGAAAGTCTTAGGTAACAGAAAGTAAAATATAAAAGTAAAATAACAATTTTTCTATTTAAAATTTGAAATAATTATAAACTATTTTATAAAAAGAGTAGCAACAGAAAAATTAAGTGTACCAATACATTATTACGTGTAACATCTAACATGATACTTTTGTAAAAGATTACGACCAGCATTTCCTTACTTGACGAGATTATTGCCATCGGAAATTTCATTACATGGATATACAATACCAAAGGGAGTAAGTTATAAACGTTAATTCAAGTCTAAATGCAATGTATATGTTAATAAGTGATATAATGAATAACTTTCATTTTTTTTTAGACTTTTGTTATAATGGCAAATCAAATAACATCACAGCGTGAGGAACATTTTGAAGATCCTGAAAAATATCAACCGGAAAGATGGTTGAATCAGAATGAACATACGCATAATGATTATCAGGAGTATTCATGTTTACCTTTTGGCTATGGTATACGATCCTGTTTGGGAAAAAATATGGCAGAAACACAAATGATGTTACTCACTGCAAAAGTAAATGAGTTTTATACACAATATAACGTAAATATTATATAATGTAGAAATGTGTGATATATAGCTTATTTTTACAGTTGGTACAAGAATTCACAATCGAGTATGATTATGCTGAAATCCGAAGTAGATTTCTTATGATAAATGTACCAAATAGATCACTACGTTTCCGTTTCGTAGACAGAAATTAAAAGTAAGAAGAAATATGCAAGATAATTTTAAAAATCTGGAAAACAGAATAATTATTAGATATAACGAAGTATAATATCTTTATTAAGATTATATGATAAGATTTATTATTATCGTAAGATTACC